ACCCATCCCCTCGGGGAAGCGGCGTGGGAGCCTCCAGCAGTGGGGAAGAGCCTCTGCTCTCCCTGCTCTTCTCAGCTGCCTCTTTGCAGATCTGCCCCCACACAGAGTTTCTCCCCTCAGCTCACAAGGAGGCAGTAGAAACACTTTTCTCCAGAGAGAAGATTAAAAACCCTGAGAAGCTCACACCGTTTGAAGACCATCAGGGCCCAACTCCCAAGCCCCAGACACCAGCTGGGACCAGTTTGACTCCAGCCTCTATCACCAGGCCTCGGCATCCCTCCGTATGCTGTGTGCCAAGCAGCCCTGGGCCAGGGCTGTAAAAGGGGACTCTTCCCTGGGGAGTCCAGAATTCACCAGGAAAACACTGATAAATGTTAAATAAAGAGTTAATTGTCAAAACAAGCCAGGGGTTGTCTCTGCCCCATGCAGCCACCACCCCAGGGACTCAGGGCAATCTGGAGAGCTGTTTATAACCCAGCATTTATGCCTTCAGCTGCGACTGCTTGGCCACTGTGGTAGCAGGACAAGGCTCCCACGTCATCCGTGGACAACTTTGCTGGCAATAAGGGTGTAACTGTTAAATGGGTGCTTGGCAGCTTTACCGGGGCACCACCTCTCCAGAGCTGAGCTTGGTGGGAGGAAAAGGGGGTAGAGAGCTATCAGGCTTAAAGCAGAGCAGCTGGAGAGGTGGAGGAAGAGCCACAGGATACCTGCTCCAGGACAAGATCCTTTTTGGGGGAAGCCGGCTCTGTCACAGCAAGGTGGCTCAGAAATCTCTGCATCTCCACCAGGTTGGGCAGCTGGTCAACGAGGACATCCGTCAGGAACGCACGGAGCTGCGGCCACAGGGGGGAAGAGAAGAGCGAACGGAGAGAGGTCAAGACAAGGGGGCCAGAGCTAGGGAAGCAGCATGGCAAGGGCAGGGATCTGTGGGGCACTGGCAGAGCGACCCATGGGGGTCTCATGAGGTGGACTTGCAAATGCAAGCTTTGCAGCTGCTGGCGTGCTGACAGACCCCGCTGCTCCCCCACCACTGGCTCCTAGGAGCCCACAGTGAGGATGGGGAGAGATGCCCGGAGGTTCCTAGTGCTGGCAAGGTCCTACTCTGTGCTGCGGGGCCCACGGCCTTCGTGGTGTAGGGTCCTACCTTGAGGAGCTGGCTCTTGTTGAAGCCATCGAAGCGGTATTTGCGCTGGCATTCGGGGCTGAGCAGGAGGTTGAGGAGGGCAAGCCACACCTGCCCATCGAGTTTGGTCATCTTCACCTCATCTTCAGGGGGCACCACGTGCCACACGCCATTCTCAAACTTCTTGAGCTTGCCTGAGGGACAAGAAGAACACACAGCTCCAGGGAGAGACAGCGCTGCCCAAGGGAAGACAGCTCAAAGGTGGGGATGCTGGCCTACGCTCGCTTGCTCACTCCACCACAGGCAAGCCCCTCTGCTTCTACCTGCCTCAGTTTCCCCACCCCTTTGCTCAGCATAGCAGCCTTCTTGGTACTGAGACAATATATTAGAGAGCACGAAAAGCATAAAGAATATGTATTAAAACAATAGGGCTGCAGCAGGAACCAGAAGATCCCTGTGATATCTCCCTCTGTACTTGGCCAGGAGTGTAGAGCACTGGTAGATGGTGGGGGAGCCCCTGCTGCAGCAAGAGTGGCTGGAGAGGCATTTTCTGGGGTATCAGCATGGCCAATACCTGCTCTTCTGGAGGTTCTTCTGCTGGTGAAAGCCAGAGGTAGCATGAATATAACAGAAGTGACACAACAAGCTCCAGGAGCTACTGTGCTGCTCTGGGGGGTGGAGGGAGATTTAACCCTGCATCTGCACAGCCTGGAAATGCCTTTGCACTCTTGTTTTTTTCCAGTCCCTCCCTCAGGGCCCTGGATCAAAGCTCCCTCTGACACCCCGAGCACACAGGCCGAGAGAAGGGATGCATTTCCTGGCCAGAGGAAGGAGGAAAGCTCCTACATCCAGCTGGGCTCCTCTCGGCAGGCGCAGAGCCACGTGCTTCCCAGCATCTCTTCCTCCCCTGCCTCTGCTGTGACCCCCCCTGGTGCCGGGCTGCAAAGGGGAACGCGAGTTCCCACGCCCCAGGCTGTGCCCCACCACTGCTTAGAGGCAGGCAGTGGAGAAGCTGGGGGTCTGTGGGGGGGCACGCCTAGCTTGCAGAGGTGCAGGAGCAGGAGGCAGGGCTGATGGCGCAGGTGACAGCCGATGGGCACAATCTGATCAGAGGCCTTCAGCAAGAGTGAAGCTCAATGACTGGTGGCTTCAGGGCAATGGGTTTGCTGCCTGGGAGAGCCCGTGTCTGGCTCCAGCTCTTAGCACTGTCCGAGAGAGGTGCAGACAGGCTGCGACTGGCACTCTGGCCCTTCTGTGTCCAGGACAAGACTCCTCAGAGGAGCAGGTGGGGCTGGCAGATGTGCTACGCTCCTGCTCCCGTCCTGGCTGTGATCAGCTCAGAAGAGACACAGCCCTGTGCGAGGATCGGCTTTTGGGAGCACTGCCGGGTCCCCAGCCCAGCTGTGCTGCAGCTGCTTTCGCGCTGAACAGCTTCAGGCAGGGAGCACTAGAGAGGAGCAAGAGGAGGAGGCCAGAGGGGAGGGTAAAGGGGGAGCAGCTTTCTGCAAGGGCTCCTGCAGCAGACCCGTCAGTGGATGCAGGTCCCAGCATGCCACCATGGTGCCCCAGGTACCACGGGGCACGATCTGTACCTGCTTTGCGGCAGCTCCAGGGGCAATGCTCCACCAGCTCGACAAGGAGGCAGGGCAGGTTGTGGGTGTTCAGCATCCGCGTCAGCGCGCTCAGGGGCAGACTGGAGATACGACAGAAAGGGTGAAATGGCGCTCACAGACAAATGCCAGAACAGATACAAACGCTCCCTGAGGCAACTGGGAGAGGCACGAAAAACACAATGATCTGGGTTCCCGCAAGTACCAGCGAGCAGGGTGGAGTGCTGCTGCGTTTGCCTCCCGGGGCGCCGTGCCACTGCCACCACGGATACAGCCAGCTGCTGAAAGGGGTCCACGCACCCGCTGCGGCCCCGCGGGAATCTCAACCGGAGAGCTCGGCACATGTCCTCTGCTGCTCCTGGGCACCTACCTCTCCACCTGATCGGTGATGAACCGCAGTACGGACAGGGCTTTCAGGGAAATCTCAAACTCCATTGTCTCTGCCTGCTTCTGCAGCTCCTGTGGAGGGACAAGCACAGCCTTGGGATTTCAGGCCCCATTTCCCAGGAGCTGCAGGGAGGCAGCCTGTTGGCTGCATGTCGGTAACCACAGACTGGGGAGGAAACCAGAGCCCTGCAAAACAAACTCTGCTTCTCATCTTGACTGTGCCAGCGCTGCCTGTTTGCCAGGGCAACTGCAGAAGTGCTTGCAGCCCACAGATGCTCGTCCCTCATCTCCCTACCCCTTAACAGGTCACGGGTGGCTACGGGCAGCACTGCCCCTGCACGGGGACACCCCCTGAAAGAGGCCAGTCCCGGACCCCTCCTCTCTCCTCTTCTAGGATGATCTTGTGGCCCATGGCCCTGCAGAGACCTGTGAGGTTGAGGGAGGGGGGAGCTGCAGGATCAGCAGAGGAACCAGGGGAGGAGGAGGAGAGAAAATCTTGGCCCTGGCGCAGCTGCAGTCCTATATCAGCCCCTCCTGGATCTGCCTCTCCCCTCCAGCTTGCATACACCCAGCCAGAATATCTGCCTGTGGTTATCCCAGCCTGCAGCTACGCCACACTCCCCAGTCGCCCGGCCTCCCTC